GATATGTCATCAGGTAACTTAGATATGACATCCTGTAAGTGAGATATGTCATCCTGTAAGTGAGATATTTCATTCTGTAACTGAGATATGTCATCAGGTAACTTAGATATGACATCCTGTAAGTGAGATATGTCATCCTGTAAGTGAGATATTTCATTCTGTAACTGAGATATGTCATCAGGTAACTGAGATATGTTATCAGGTAACTGAGATATGTCATCAGGTAACTGAGATATGTCATCCTGTAAGTGGGATATGTCATCAGGTAACTGAGATATGTCATCAGGTAACTGAGATATGTCATCAGGTAACTGAGATATGTCATCCTGTAACTGAGATATGTCATCCTGTAAGTGAGATATGTCATCAGGTAACTGAGATATGTCATCCTGTAAGTGAGATATTTCATCCTGTAACTGAGATATGTCATCCTGTAACTGAGATATGTCATCCTGTAAGTGAGATATTTCATCCTGTAACTGAGATATGTCATCCTTTAACTGAGATATGTCATCTTGTATCTGAGATATTTCATCCTGTAAGTGAGATATGACACCCTGTAACTGAGATATGTTACCACGCAACTGAGATTTGTCACCATGTAACTGAGATATGTCACACTGTAACCGAAATGAAGAAAAAGAGCAGGAGGAGAAGAAGAAGAAGAATAAGACGGACAAGAACAAGGAAAAGAAGAAAAGCAACAAAAAAGAGCAAGAAGGATATATATCACTAAATTACAATGGAAGTTATAAAGTTATCAAGTGAAGCACGCGTCCTCTGTGTTTTATTGGCTCTACAATCCAGGACACGAAATAATCACTATGAGAAACGTGTCGCGGCCTACTTTCTTTGATTGTCAGCCGACTGGGAGAAATATAATTCGTACTGAAGGAAGGCAGCAACATGACACTTGGATTAGAGTAAACTCTAGCATATCCAGGCATGTAGCGTACATAAAGTGTACAATGAGATACTCCTCCTTCTGGTTCTTATTCACACACACTGACTTTAATGACGGTTTAGACGACGGTTCAACATCATTGCACAAGGAGGAGTAACCCTTAAGTGCTCCGTTCTGCTTCTGACTCAAGCTTGAGTGCGAAAATTCTCAGCACAGTGCATGAAGTCTGTAGCACAGGCGATGATCCTGAAATACTTCGGTAGCTTTCTAGCTCCAAATTTTGCCCGGGCACGATTAGGCTACTTTTCTCGACTTTTAACTGCCGAGGGATTTTTACGTGCACAAGAATACACACTACCCAGAGATCAGTGAAATCACTAGAAATCCACGTGAACAAATCCAAGCCTTCACTGCGACCTGAACCCAGGACCTCCAGCACTCGAGGCGGACGCCATGCCCCAAGACCACTCAGTCCCTCTCCGTCTTTAATGAAATACAGACAGACAGACAGACAGACAGACAGACAGACAGACAGACAGACAGACAGACAGACAGACAGACAGACAGACAGACAGACAGACAGGCAGGCAGGCAGACAGACAGACAGAAATCGACCCCTTATTACTGCAGTGGGTTTTTATGCACCATTCAGTACTCAATGATGTATTCAAAATTGCGTCAGTCTATCTTTACTTGCCAGCAAAAAAGACCCTTTTCACGCCATCAGGCGTATAGGGCATATAGGGCTATCTTTTTATAGACCAATCGGCACAAAAGGGGTGATGTGGTCAGCACCACACCGGTCACCTTGCCTTCCCGGGACTGCAGCCGGTACCCACTCAAGGCTGGGTCGACTTGGGAGCCAAGGTCATTTCTGAAAAAAAAGTCCGGCTCCGCTAGGGAGAGAACCCACCACCTACCGATCCGCGGCGAGCGTCTAGCCGCTAGACCACGGGGACTCCAACTTGCCAGTACATTGCCTCGTATCCATTTTAGCCTGGGTCGACACAGGAACTTCCATAAATTCTGCAGCTGAAAATCGAAAAAGTGTAGCCAATCGGCGCTGCCCTGACAAAATATGGAGTTAAAAATCTACGCAAAAAATATTTCAGGATCCTCGCCGGTGCAACGGAGTTCGTGTACTGCGCTGAGATTCTTCAGACTCAGACTGGAGTTAGAAGTACAACGCTGTACTTAATGGGTTACGCCCGTTTGCCATGATGTTGATCCGTTGAAAAAACGTACACAGAAAACTGTAAATATGTTTTCCCAAATCCAGTCAGTGGAGTTTCGAATGTTGAATTAAGAATGGACATCACAGCACTAGGTACACTCCCATATATGCTCCGTTTCCAGCTAGAGCGGCAAACAAAGAGTTTCAGTTCCGACGGTACCAGTAACTTATTGTGCATCCGTCTCGTCTTTTCCTTGAGTGTTGAGCGTCAGCCAGATTCCCTTGTAACTCCTCGAAGCGCCATTCTGCTCCGTCCTTAATGATGTATTTGTGCCTCCGCACTGTTCACTTGCTCCCAAAGAGTCCTCACAACATCTAGCTTCTCATACATCAGTTCACAACCTAGTGCTACAGAAACAGCCAGTAGTTTCGAATTCAAGATTAGGAAACACACCAATTTGAATCATAAGAGATGACAAACGGCATTTAAAAAAAAAACCACTAGGAAAAACCACAAATTTATTAGTTCCATAGAAGCTGAATACTAGGAAGGCCAGTCTTTGCAGCACATTCAGACCAAATGTAGAAAATATTAGACAACATAATTGCAGTGTGGGATTCACAAAGAGCAAATTTTATATCAATACTGTAGCTAAAAAGATCGCAGATGATGAACTGTGAGAGGAGGACATAGTATTTATCACTAGCAAACATTACCAAAGGAAGAAGATGGATATGGCTTGAACAAGTATATTCAACGGAGGACATACAACCTGGCAAAGAATGGGTACGAGTGCCAGTAGAGTGATGTACATCTTTTTCAGTCTGAATAAAACTAGATAGAGATTGCAGACAACAAAATACGTTGGTGGTTGAGGCAGAAATTGAAGCCTACATTGTAATTCTTGAAAATTTTTGCTAACGGAGGTGCAGTTTTCTACACAGAGGTATTCGTCATTCGACACGAACGAATTTCATGTTCTTTCACGGTTCTGGTTCAAGGGAAAACTGTAAAAAGAAGATTGCGGTGCCTTTGTCTCGACTACAAGTAGTCTGAAATCCACAGGGGCATAGGAATAAAGAAAGGCCGAAAACACACGGAGAAGGGAGCTGGAGAATGAAGTAAACAAGATGTGGAGCACACGGGGAGAGCTGCATACGAAAGCAAAGGATGGAACTACGGCGTGAGTTGGCTTGGGGCCTATGCTACATTGGGGGCTAGAAAGGCACAAGAAGACAAGTAGGCTGACTATGGAGGTAATTGCGGTAACAAAAGCAATAATGTGGCTACAGAAACAGCAATTTTCTGTGCTTGCTTTCTAAGTGATTCTGTAGGCATTCTTAAAAAGATAGAGACTAAATGGATTGCAAGAAAACGGGGTAGTCGCTGGGGAAATCTCGTCTTGTAGGAATCAGTTTTTATTTTTGTGACAGGACACTCTGGGGTAAGAGGGAATGAAAGAGCGGATTGGCTTGCTGACAGGGTTACGGTAGGTACACGAACAACAATGGACCAGGGTTGCGTGAAAGGTACTGGTCCCGCTGGAAAAGTAAGGCCAAGGGGACTGGATGTTTCACTAGTGATTGTTCTGGGGGACGGCGCAAGGTGACGTAGGATCACCATGGAAACAGAACAGTAGTGATGCCGGCGAGCGCGCATAAATCCTGTCGGTCATCGGAGTCCTTCGATAGGCAGATGTGCTGTGGGCACATGCTGGAGAAAGAGCAAGTGAAGTCAGTCTCCAGTCAGCCGTTGTTGTCTGCTGAAGTAATATCAAGGTCCAGTTGATAGGAGAGTTCGTCCCCTCGTTGTGGGACGCTGTAGACCTTCGGAACTGTAGCGGTCATGGAGAGGTCGCTGTAAGTAGAGAGAGAGAGAGAGAGAGAGAGAGAGAGAGAGAGAGAGAGAGAGAGAGAGAGAGAGAGAGAGAGAGAGAGAGAGAGATAGGACTATATGGCCTAGGTGCGAATGCCAATTAGGATCAGTGTCTACGTCTCTGAATAAGCAATTTTGTCGATGTGAGGGACTGTGTATACCCTCTGGTGTTCTGTCAAATAAATCTTTTGTATGACGGAGCAGACAGCGTCGTCTCGTAACTCCATGTGTTAAGTAAATATTTGCACCTGTGGACACTTGGTCGTGTGCTAATTATCGTGTAATTCAGTTAGCATACAACAGACGGGAAATATAGAACTCGACATCCCACTTGTGCTCACAGCATCGGGCAGAGCAGCAGATGGTGAGAGCCCCTATAAAGTCGAAATGTAGTCTGAAAATTTAATGTTTTAACAGGGCAGATCTGGACCTTTAATTTAGCAGCTGGTCTAGAGGGAGACTGCACAACGCGGATCGACAGAGCATTGCTCATCTGATCCGACAGCTTGTGCAGCAAACATTAGTCCAACCACATAGGTCTTTTCTTTCCTTTGGGGTTACATGGGCAAAACATGGTCTTCCCAATACTGTCCAGGTTTTATGTTATGGAAAGTTTAAAGTTCGTCTCTGGCATTACTCATCATCATCATGTAGCAGATCCTTTAAAGAACGCCACTGTCATCACTGTCTGCATGAAAGAAACTCGGTCTCTCGCTAGCTCTCCTGCCTCATGTGCTTTTATACTCTAGAAGTCACTTATATCCTGTGCCCATCTTCGAGTTAGCCGGCCCCTGCTCCTTTTTCCTGGTACTATTATTTTTTCTAATCCGCCATGGCGCTTGATATGAACAAAATATGTCAGCTTCCGAGACAGGATGCTGTTTATTAGCCAATCTTCCTGGATGTCCAGATCTGGCGTTACTACCACCTTAAAATGACAGGTATCAGCATGGGCTGTGATTCAAATGCCCCCTTGAACAGAGCAGAAAACTAACATCTGGAAAGGTGCAACAATACAACTGACTATACTAACAGAGTAGACCTACCTGTAGCCAAAATATGGTTGATTTTTCGAGTTGTTGAACGTGGAGGCCATCTGAATCCAGAAGTTGTGGTTCAGAGTTATCTCCGCTACATCTCCCACACACCGCCCGCCATTACTTCTCATTAGTTTATCTTTTTCCATCTCCAGTAATGTGGCTCGTAGGTAGTAATCCACCGGTGGCTTACTCCACCCTGGCTTCAGGTAGTGGAAGGCGGTGATCCGTGCGTGGTCAAAGAAAATACCAGTTCTGTATCCAGCTTTCCGAAAGTCACTCCACAAGAACAGGTCGTTGATGCTATCAAAATGTTTCTTCTCTGTCCAGTTACCTCGTTTTAGTTCCCGGAAATGAAGTCCTGTGAGAATAGGAACGACCGTGTCGATAGTTGTACCCCCGACTGTGTTGTACTTATGAAGTTCAATGGCCATAAGGTCGTTGAGAAGAAAATTTCTGGTCTTTGGCATTAAACGCTGGAAATTTTGTTTGGAATTTCCGTCAATGCCAATAAGCAACACACTCAAAACTTCTTTGGGCGCGAATTCACTGATGTGCTTCTTCAGATTATCCTGCAGTAGCTTCTCCACGTCTTTCTTGGGACGAATCAACGTGAAGTAGGACCGCGTAAGCACGACTTTGTGATTATCATAGCACTCTACAATGACATAATTATCACCGTCCCTAAGAGTGATGGAGTCGTTGAACCCGGCACTCGTATTTAAGACCACAGTCCAGAAGTCAGACCACTGCTTCCTGTCCACGGATTTATATCTGCATTCATTAAAGGTTTGATTGTTTTTCTGGAAAAATGCAGTTTTGGAATGATTGACCTTGATTGTATTTCTGTCTAGATAGACCAAATGGGGGATTCCCTGCTGGCAATTAATTGTAGGATATACTTTAGCTAAAGCCATAATGGCTGGATCCAGAGGATCAATGTAAGGGAAAGTACAGTTTTCTGTGATTGGACTTTCTGTCGTAAACATTTCTCGATCTATGTTTGTATTCTTTATATTTCTAACATTTGTGTGCCGCCCATTGGCATACATTATAACAGAGCTGTTTGTCCTAAGAAAGGACACGTATGCAGGCGGGGATGGCGCAGTTTCCGACATGTTTGCGAGGACAATTTGGAATCTGGACATCCAATCGTTGTACTGGTCGGAGTAGGAGAACATGACCCAGCATATCCACACTGACAGCAGGGCGCCCACAGCACTAGCAGCTCGCCACCTCCTGCCTGTAGACGTATATGAACGATTTTATGTATATTATATATATATATTTATATGATTTGAGGGAGTCGCCATGGCGGAGCGGCTAGACGCTCGGCTCTGATCAGAAGGTCGTGGATTCTCTCTCTGGCGGAGCCAGACTTCTTTCAAAAATTACCTTGGCTCCCAGGTCGACCCAGCCATGAGTGGGTACCGGGTGCAGTCCCGGAAAGTAAAGGCGACCGGAGTGATGCTGACTACATCGCCCATCTTGTGCCGATTGGTCTATAAAATACATGTCTAGCCCTATTATGCCCTATACGCCTAAAGACATGGAAAAGGTTTTTTTTTACTTTTGAATTATTTGACTAGATAAGGAACCCTTTTCATAGTCTATCAGGTATATGATGCTAAATCCATTGTTTTATACACAGAAAGGCAACCAGTGGTGAACAATACGTTGGTCTTATTTTGTGTGCGCTGCACCACAGCGGCTAGCCTATGTGTATGTTTATGAGAACAGCTGTAGTCTAGCTTCTAGGCGCTCCCTGCAGATCCGAGGTTGTTCATGGAGCTGGACCTGTTTCAAGGATGACTTTGACTTCCTATTTTGATTCCGTTTTACCTGCTGTTCGTTAGCCGCAGCTGCCAACAGTGTTAAGTTATATTTATGATCTGGTATATTTGCGACAGTCGGCTCTGTGGCTAAGTCGATGCGAACGCTTCGTAATGCCGGGATGCCGGGATGCCGGGTTCGATCCCAGCTGCGGGCCATGTGCCTTGCGTTGGTTTCGACAGTGGTATCAAGAAAGCCGACCGTCCAGAAGCAATGGCAAACTACTGGACGTAAATTTGTCTAGAAAAACCACACAACAGCCAGGGGCTGTTGGGGTTGGTTCTGCAATGTCCTGTAAAGGATACGCAACTAACCTATATTTGCGACACTTTCGTGGCTAAAGTTCTGGTGTCTTTTTCTTCTTCTTTGTTTACCGGCTGTAAGCTCCGACGGAAAGTTTTAGTTGTTGGTCCAATGGGACTTTAGCTTTGTGCCAGGGCCTGAGTTTTGCGTGTATATCCGCTTTACTGACTTTTGTGTGTGTGCAGTTTGTTGTTCCTTACATTCGGGCAGATGTACTCCGACTTCAAAGGAAGTCCCCAGCTAGTCGACTCCTACGACATACTTGTTGGCGACTCCTACGACATACTTGTTGGCGACTCCTGCGACATACTTGTTGGCGACTCCTGCGACATACTTGTTGGCGACTCCGGCGACATACTTGTTGTCGACTCCTACGACATACTTGTTGGCGACTCCTGCGACATACTTGTTGGCGACTCCTGCGACATACTTGTTGGCGACTCCGGCGACATACTTGTTGTCGACTCCTACGACATACTTGTTGGCGACTCCTGCGACATACTTGTTGGCGACTCCTGCGACATACTTGTTGGCGACTCCGGCGACATACTTGTTGTCGACTCCTACGACATACTTGTTGGCGACTCCTACGACATACTTGTTGGCGACTCCTGCGACATACTTGTTGTCGACTCCTGCGACATACTTGTTGTCGACTCCTGCGACATACTTGTTGGCGACTCCTGCGACATACTTGTTGGCGACTCCTGCGACATACTTGTTGTCGACTCCTGCGACATACTTGTTGGCGACTCCTGCGACATACTTGTTGGCGACTACTGCGACATAATTGTTGGGGAGGTAGTGGGTTTATTCCCTTTTCCCTTTTGATGGGGCCCCGGATCACACACGGGGAAAGTTCTGGTATGTGAGCCAGCGCTCTGGTTCAGTGTCTCCTGTCCTCAAAGTCAGAACGCTCCTTACTTTCCTGTATGATAGTGTTTCTCCTGACCTTATATTCCCGGTGTTGTCTTCCTTTAACTTCCAAGACGACACATCTTTAAATGGATACCAGGTACAGTCCTGGGAAGTAAAAGCGGTCGGTATGATATTGACTACATCACCCACCGTGTGCCGATTGGTCTAAAAATTATGGGTCTAGTCTTATATGCTCTACAGATCTGTAGGCGTGAAAATTTGTCTTTTTGTTTACTTCATTTATATAAATAGACAGAGAGAGGGAGAGAGACACGGAAAAGGAGAGGGAGAGAGCGCGTGAATGAGGAAGGAAATGATGAAGAAAGAAGGAGATAGAGATGCAGAGATCGGGGGGGGGGGGGTAAATACCATAGAAGAAACCTTACCTGGTTCCATTTTGACAGAAAAAAGCACTATCAAACACTTGCAGAAATAGACACCACTAAAGGCTAGAACTAATAGATACACAAGGGTAAGCCTACTCTAATGGTGTGGAAATAAGACCTCAGGACGCCTAGATTTATATGTATATCCAGCCTCTGGGGCCTTGTTGCTCCAAAGGGGGTGATACCCAACACTCTATACTGAGCAAATATGATTCATGTGTGTTTAAAAACGCGCGTGACTTGGAATCTACGTCCTCAATTTCTTCACATCCAGTGAACACTATATACTTGACAGGATCTTAGCACGGAAGATACATTCTAGAAGACCCGGATGTTTAAAGAAAACATTCTAAAATACCTGCACATCGAAGGCAATGTTCTGCAGACTCGAACATTCTGGAATATCATATTATTGATGAAAACATCCTAAACGACCTGAACATTGACGAAAACATTTTAAAAGACCTGAACATTGAAACAAACATTCTAAAAGACTGAACTTTGAAGGAAACATTCCAAAAGACTTTAACATTGGAGGAAACATTCTAACAGACTTTAATATTGAAATAAACATTCTAAAAGACTGAACTTTGAAGGAATCGTTCCAAAAGACTTTAACATTGGAGGAAACATTCTAACAGACTTTAATATTGAAATAAACATTCTAAAAGACTGAACTTTGAAGGAATCGTTCCAAAAGACTTTAACATTGGAGGAAACATTCTAAAAGACTTTAATATTGAAGGAAACATTCTAAAAGACTGAACTTTGAAGGAATCGTTCCAAAAGACTTTAACATTGGAGGAAACATTCTAAAAGACTTTAATATTGAAGGAAACATTCTAAAAGACTTTAACATTTGAGGAAACTTTTAAAAGACCTGGACATTGACGAAAACATTCTAAAAGACCTAGTCATTAGAGCAGTAGTTCTCAACCTGTGGGTCACAACTCTTTTTGGGCCCTTTCACAGGGGTCGCGTAAAATCATCGGAAAACACATATTCACCAAAGTTGTGAAGTAGCAAAGAAAAAGTATTATGGCTGGGGGTCACCACAACATAAAGAACTGTATTAAAGCGTCGCGGTATTGGGTAGATTATGAACCACCGCATTAGAGAAACCATTCTAATAGAGCCGAGCATTGAAGGAAACGAGAGCATTGAAAGAAACATTCTAAACAAAACCTGAGGATTGCAGAAAACAACATATAACACCTGAACTTTGATGGAACTCTTCTGAATGATCTGGACATTTATGAGACCATTCGTAAAGACATTGCTGACACTGAAACTAACATTTTAAAAGACCTTACCACGAAGAAACAAAAGTGTACAATTGAATGTCCTAGGCCCTGTTTCCAGTGTGTACTTTTTTAGTTCAAGTTGTCTAGTTCTTACCCCAAACACACTTCATATATGGTGTGGGAAGAGGTAAGAGAGTTGTAGCCCAGGGCCTACATGCGAAGTGTCCAAGCCCTCTGCCTAGTTTCCTAGCGGTCGTGAGTTCGATTCGTTCCATCGACTCGTTTACTTGAGTGGTGCAGTTTAATGCAAATTCCAAGGAGAGAAAGTTAGTTGCGTATCCTTTACAGGACATTACAGAACCAACCCCAGCATTTATTGGCTGTTGTGGTTTTTCTTGGCTAATTTACGTCAAGTAGTTTGCCATTGCTTCTGTACGGTCGGCTTCTCGATACCACTGTCGACATTAACATAGGGGCAAGGCCCGCAGCTGGGATCGAACCCGGCACCCCGGAATTACGAAGCGCGTTAGCAACGCCTAAGCCACAGATGCCGACCTCCAGAGAAGTTTGAGGTTTGAACAACGGATCAACATCAGGGCACACGGGTAGTAACCCATAAGTGCTCAGTTCTTTCTTCTAACTCAAGTCTGAGTCCGAAGAAGCTCAGCGCAGTGCACAGGCTCTGTAGCACCGGCGAGGCTCTTGAAATACTTTGGGTAGATTTTAAACTGACATTTTTACTCTTTTCGATTTCCAACTGCCAAGGGACTTTTTACGTGCGCAACAATACACACGGGGGTCCGATCTCACTACCCATAGACCAGGAGGAAAAACTAGAAGTCCAAGTCCACGGGAAAAAATCCCAGCCCTTACCGGGGATTGAACCCGGAACTTTTAGCACTCGAGGCGGACACCATGCCTCGAGACCACGCAGCCCTCCGACGTCCAGAGAGAAACGGAGACATATCGGACAGTCCATTGGACTACAGTCTTTTTAATTGTCACTGTCATGCCACACGAGATCCGCCATGGTATAGTGGCTAGACGTTCGTCGGCGGATCGGAAGATAATGGGTTCAAGTCCTGAACTGTTTTTTAAATAACCTTGTCAACCAGGTCGACTCAGCATTGAATGTGTCTAAAGAAATAATCGCTGCCGGCGAAATGTTAACCACATCACCCATTGAGTGGCGATCTATCTTATTTTACCCCTAACCCCAACCTAAAACACCCCCAAAAATATTGGATTTTCTCGGGAACTCCGGGATTTCCTTTTGCCTGGGGTCAATTAAAATAAAGTGCCCAACAAATGTCTGATTGATTCTGCAACATTCTATAAATAATACATGACTAAATAAGACTCGAAATA